TCCGAAATGCCAAGGTATTGAGAAGTTGACATTTAAACGATCACGATTGTGATGCTTAGTGCGTTGCGAAACGGGTTTGAACGAGTACTTGATGTAATCGCTAATCCCTTTCCAAACGGATATTGCATATTATATGTGGACATTGATAAAGTATTTTTAAAAATAAATTGTTGAACAAAGACGGTAAACTGATGGTAGAGCCGATAGTACTTTACACAATACGCGTTAACGGGACTCGAACCTACTAAAAACAGTTTTCATTCATAAATGTTGTATATTTTTAAGGGGCTGTTTAAGTATTACGTACCCATATAATACAATAGTAACCCCCCCCCCCCCCGCCACGAGGTAATGTAAAATGTGAAATCCCGCCGAACAGATTTCTGTGTTTGTTTTACTGATCGGTTTTATTTATAAGCAAGTAATTAATTTCACTTCTGTGCCTTGCCCGGCCTATGGTCTTCCAAGGATTCAAACCTACTCTAGCACTTGACGCAATACCAGGCAACATGTTTAACCATTTAGCTACAGAAGCGGAGAGGAGGATAATATGTTAGCAAAGGATAAAACCATATATTTTTTATGTCACTTGACTAGGTTTTAATATACTCGATCATCCAATAAGATTAAAATATTTCTTAAAGTTAAATGCATTGCCTAGAAACTTACTCTGCGAAATAGCATTTCTGCAAACGGCAAACCGCAATTTACTTTGAACGTTTAATATTTAAGTTTCCAACATACCTGTCAGGAAAATGATTTGGCTTTGAAATTAACAGTTACTTAATACGATATTATCTTAGTGGCTTATGAAATGTGTATAGGAGTTTCTTCGAGCCCTAACTGATCAACCTATTTTTTGCATGATTATTCTACATTACATTTTACGTACATGTGCAATTCTTTATGTACCTACTAATAATATTATAAAGCTGAAGAGTTTATTTGTGTGTTTGAACACGCTAATCCCAAGAATTGCTTCGAATTGAAAAATCGATTTTGTTTCGGGTGGACCATTATAAAGGATGGCTGCAATCATAAGGAGCGAAAAAACAGAAAGCGACGGGATGCGAACGAGGTAGCTTTAATTTATAAATCTGAGGAGGTAGTTAGCATAAAAAAATAAAATATTATGATGCCCAAAATAATTTCCACGCGATGTGGCGGGCACAGATAGAAATTAAGTAATTATACGCAATGATTGTTGCTTCTAGCACCTTTGCGAACTAGGTGTAAATAACACGAATTATTATATTTAGAAATAGTATGAATAGACACATCGGATATGCTACTAGATTACTACTTCCAGAAACAACTGACAAACTATAAAACGCTACCTTGATCTCTTTCTAGAGGCGTCATAAATTACTGTAAACACTTATTAGTTTCAGCAGATCGTTAATGGACGACAAGTGTAAAACCCAACACCAGTACAAAGACGAGTAAAAATGACTTTCCTCCCATCAAGAGTTCCGCCGCTCGACTTCCGCTAGTTTTAACGATCGAACGAGTTACGTCAGCTGAACGTTCAGGATCTTTTCAGACAATCCAAAATCACAATCCCTCGTCTATACGATTTGTAGATAACTTGTTATGTTTTAGTCGCATCAAATGAGATCAGTAGGATCTACAAGTATAGCCTTTTTTAACATTTTTTAATGCAATAAATCTTATACCTTCAAACGCCGGTCTCATAAAACCTTAATTCCAAAGTAATATTGCTTCGACAGCAACATTTATTTAGGCAAACCTGTTAAATCTAGCCAAATACACCGATGTTCATCCGTGTTAGTTTGTTTAGGTTTAATTCTGATTTACGTAAACTCATTTTATTGACACAGAAACTCTATGTAGATGTAATTTTCAGCCCGTATTTATTGTTAGATTTCTAAGAGTAATTTTATGATGTATATAAAAACAAAATAAAAACGACGATTTGAAAAGCCGCTAATATCGATAGATACCCCGAAACTTTGTATTAAAAGTACTTTATTAACAATAATGGTAACTTTTAAATAAAACACTAACGGTTTAAAACACGATCTCCCAGTGCAAACCGCATCCGAAATGTCGGACCGTAGTAATAAAGAAATCAAATTAGTTTAACTAATATATATCGCGTCTTAAATCGTTAAAGTGTTTTATTTAAATAAAACAGACAGTATTTAATAATTGTAACTGATGTGCGGTAGTCTCTACAGCTGTCACACCATTCAATAAACAGGAAGGAAACTAGTCGGTTCCGTTGTGAACTCCTATTAATTTGTATCCTGTGACTAACGAAATCGTGTTAGGGAATGACACTTGTTTCGGAGTTTGATATCATCCGATAAAACACATTTTATATGTTGTATGTAAAATCGTATGTCTTTATGGGAATATATCAGATAAAATGTCAAAGGGTGGAAAAGATAAGATTCGGAAAGACACAGGAATGTTTGGGATACAGTGAGAATTCCATAACTCAAATTCCTCGGCAAAGTGGGAATTGGGAAGTGGGTAAATTGGTTAACAGTTAGTGTGAAATAACCACCTGTCAATCTATCATTGTCCCCAATAGAATATGATAAGTAATAGGGCTAGGACATGTTGTTAATAAATAATAAAAGTTATATTTACTACTAGCTGTTCCAGCGACTTCGTCTGCGAGAATCGTTATTTTGGATATTCAAATTAGTTTCTTTATAAAGTTAAGCTGTTAGCAACGACGTCGATCGCGTCCCTTCCCGTCGTCCTTGCAAGTTAATCTTAAAAGATAGACATATAGCGTCGGGGACTTTTTTTTAGGTCATTTAAAGAGGAATCATTCTTTCTTACACATTTTTTAGGTATCTTGAATCGTTTTCGCAGCGTACGCATCTGAAACCCACAGAGATGAAAAATTTCCCCAGGTTTGTTCACATTTCCTGCTGTATCTTCGCTTCTATTAGTCACAACGCGATGTTTTATAGCCTATAACTTTCCTCGATAAATGCTCTAACCAATACAAAAATATTTTTTCAAATCGAACTCGTAGTACCTAAGATTAGCGTTCAAACTAACTCTTCAGCTTTATATATTAGTATAAATAAAAAAGCCACCGCAGCATAAGCCATAGCAGTTAATCATGTTTCTCCAAAAGTCAGTCACTAGCTCTAAATAGGCAATGTGTCTACAACATCTATCAACTAAATATTGTTGATATGTTCTTAAACTTGAACATCAACAGTCTCCTGTGAAAGACTGCTGCATCCAAAATGTTGGTTCGTACTTTTAACAATTAAAAGTGTTTTATTTGAACTTCTCCTATAAATTACAGAGGGTATGATTCATTTTAAAAATTATTCCTGCACCTATTCAAGTTATATTAACACATTGAGTTGAGATGTACATAACATCAATATAACAGTTGACTGTAATTGTTTCTGACCTCATCAATACAGGAGCACCCACAACCGTTTAGGAAGCTTAAGAAGGTATTATCATTGGACCGGTAACAATGATGCTGCACCACAAGCAAGTATGTAAATGTTCAATGTTTTTATCTTCCCTTGTCATTAAAGGTTTATTTGATTAATTTTACAAAGCATTTAGCAAAATAATACAATCATTATCAATATAAAATTTAACATAGAAAATGATTCAAGATTATTGGATACACTTACTAAAAAGAACCTTGCAGTCCAGCCGAATCTCTATTTTGGCTGTTTATCAATTACATTACTTATGTAATATCTCACTAGAATGCTATAAATTTATGAATAAGACCTAAATTTAATACTGTAACATTAAACTACGAATGTCCCTACCCGAAAGTGTTGCCAACTTTATCTACACAAAAACTGAGGTATTGATGCTTATATTCAAGTTAATATTAAATACCCTACAATGAAAAATTTGATATGAAAAAACCCAATAATGAAATTTCATAGCCAACGTTATCAAGTTTGGTTGAATGAATATAATCTATTCATTGAGAAAATCCTGTTGATAAGATACAGCATGAGAAGTGAATGACTGATACATTTATTGAAATCTACTTTAACTTTTAGAGGTGTTTTGATACCAGTGCAATAAAAGTATTTCTTAATACATTAAGTTGGATAATTAGTAATTACATATGACATCTATAATTGTATTAGCTCAACAACAATGTCTAAGCTGAAGGATTTGTAAACTGGGCAACTAATTAACTCTTTCATGCTCAAGGGAAATATTTTAAAGAATATGTAGGAAATCTATACACCCTGCTATATTTTTCTAATGATATTCTCTTACTTTATACCCAAAATAGCTGAAATATTGTGTATTTTATTCACATATTTAAGTAAGGGTTAAAGGAAAAATAGTCTTCTCTAATTATCCTGGAATTTGTTATTCTTCGTCAGAATTTTCACTCTCAAAAAGACAATTACTTACTGATTTAAGAATTTGAATCTCTCATATGTTAATAAAAATTACTATCCCTTTCGTTAAAAGTAAGCAAAATATAACAACAAGAATTATATTTGAATAAGTATTAAAACATTATAGTGTGTTCCTTACTCTCTTTAAAAGTCACTGAACATATAAGACTTTGAACAGAACAAAACATTGCTAATAGATACAGAATACTTTTTATAGCAACAGGGAAACAATTATGAGAAATAAGAATTGTGTGAACATTGAATAAATGAATAAACAAAATGCCACCTTCTGTATTTTGCACGATGAGAAAATCTGTTGTTTGTAATGCCTTTTGTGCATGTGGGAATGCTTTTAGTATACATATGACAAGTTATAATCGATAAGTTAGTGAATAAATGTTTAAAATATGTTTATTAATTTTTTTTTGCCTACTGAACTACACTGTACTGTACACTACACTGTAGTTATATTAACTTGACCATTTAATATTGAATGCACTTAGTTTAGTTGTTCTTAAGACATTTTTGCAATATAAAAAGCTTTCTATATTTTGACTATTGCATATGTTTTAGACAGATAAAATAAGATTACAACTAATTTAATTAGGTACATACCTGTTCCCAAAATTTGTACGCCAGAACTCAGCTGCATCGCTTTTGGTAATGCGAAACTGATCACCAGCAAAAGTGCCATTAGGAAACATTGCCTTCAATTCACTCAGCATGTGACTAAACACGAGACTGAGTTTCGTCAAATTACGCCTATAGTGAGAATTTTCGTCAAACATTTTTTCCTTGCCTTCTTTAAACAATTTGATAGCTTGCTTACACTTTCTAATCAAATTAATGATAAATATGTTGAAATGTTCATTATTGTTCAACTCCGACATATTGTCCTCGTATTTGGAGTAAATAACACGCAACCTCTGATATGTGTCAGGTAAAATATCCAGGATAAACGGTGGACTGTTTTTTAGGTTCATCTTGTGATGCTGACACAATTTCACAACTTTGTCCATTAACTTCCATGTTTTGTCCAGAGTCCGTTTATCCGTAGCCAGCTTGGTGGGACACACGGCATCAGAAAAGGCGCCGTGCAGTTTAGAGAATATGGACGAAATATTTTTCTGTTGTGATTTGTGACGGGATGCCGCCATATTGACGAGTCCGATGACATACAATGGGAAATAACTATTTAAACGAATACACACAACTTAAAACTCTTTCATCACTTTATAATTAGATAATCTATCGCGTGTTTTCTCATTTTTACGAAGAGAAACATTTACACCACAAAATAACACACCAAGCGACGAACGATCGCGCACTGACACATGCATATGACAAATATGCCGTTTGACAACTGGATTGTCAAGTCCACAAAACAAGGCGGCTTGGCGGCAATATTGCTATTATATTGTTTGAAATTTCCTTGTAAAAGCTATTGCTAATACATTTGATTTATATCTTAAATCGAAAGCTGAGAAATTTAACATATAGGTAACGTGCAACGTATTAGCAACAAAGATCAATTTTGCCAAAAAAATGAGTTATATTTTAAAATAGCCATGTGAAATTAAATATACATGTTTAGTATCTTATGCAGTTACATTTTTGGAAATCACTTATGACTTTTAAAATCACTCAATTTATTACTTTTCCTTATTAATTTGGAGTGTACTTGGAGTATGGCAACAAAAGTGGTCGTTCAAAAATTCATAATTACTTTAATAAAAAAGGCTATTAAAAGTATATTTTTAAAACGTCATATTTAAATTTGTTTTATTATCATATTTAATTCATATTTGCTGCAATTTGTATAACTTTTTAAATTTTCAGAGCTTTGGCATTAAACTTTTAAATATGTTTTGTTTCCTACTTTGGTGTATAGATGGCGTAAAAATACAAATTACATTATTTTTATTGCTTGAAAGACATTGAAATAATGATTAGTACTCGTATTAAATAATAGATGGCGTAGAAAAATATTATCCTAAACCTTGTTACTTAAACGAATGAAGTTTCGAGGCATTTAAACTTAATTAAGATAAAGTAAACAAAAAACAACTTTTATTTGTAACAGTAGTGATAAATATGTATTACACTTCTTATTCGTCTTCATAACTTGCTTCAGTTGTTGTGGTTGTTGTTTTTCTATGCTTTCGACGTTTAGTAAGCTTTTTAGGTTTCGTATGTTGTTGTCTGTAAATTAAAACTATCGTTAAAAATAGATTTAGGCATGATATTAGTATTTTGTAGTTGTAATATTACAAGAAGAATTAACACAAATAAATCACAAATTATTTACCATGCAGTTTATAAATTTAGCTGAAAGTTTTAGTCACCAATAGTCAGACACAGACATTACTTTTCAAACTCCGTGCACGGACTTGTTTCATGGGCTGTGAATTTAATAATTCCTCCTTTCACTCCAATATACACATTATCTGCCGAGTCCAATCCAAACGTATTAACACCAGAAACATTAAATGTACCGAGATGCATTGCGCTTGCGTTCTCTGCGTCGATTCTATAGAAATTACTATTCTCATCCATAGCGAACACTTCATCTGACCGGCTGACGAAAACACCAGTCATTCTATCACTCGGCAGTCCTTTAATTTTAATGGGCACAGTCTGCCCGTTCTTTAGAACGTACGACGTTTTTGTAGCGACGAAATACATGTTGTTCCTCGTATCTATGGTTAATCCGTGTCCGTTTGGAATCGGCATAAAGGTTTCTTGTCTCTGACCGTCATTTGTTATTCTATGAACTCTGTTCTGCGGCCAAGTGGCGATGTACATCGTCGTCCCGTCATTCGTAACAGCTATATACATCACATCTTCACCCAATGCTGTATAGAGTTCTATTGAACCATCATCTTTGTATTTATATACACCATTATCAGTAGCTAGGTACACTATATCGTTGAGGTTATCAACGCACGACGACTGACCGAGGCCGGCCACTTTGATTGTCTCGGATTCGTGACTGGGATGAAGAACTTGTAAGCTCATTTTCATCTCATCACTTATTAGGGTATAGAATACGTTTCCAGTTTTCCAATGTATGCTTAAGTCGGCTGGAGTACCGGTTAGGTTATTTTGTTCTTCTCGGGAATAGAAGTAGTTGTTGAAATGCATCAGGTTTGAGCAGAATTGTTCTTTGTTTGCTTGGCGGAGGAGGCTTTCCCGTGTCATTACAGGTGAAGCTGATAAAGTTGATGCTATGCAGAGGAGAAGAGTTATTGTGGACTTCATCTGAAAAGTAGCAAGGTTAATTGTGGTGAAAATTAGTGGATGAAATGAGGCCGCTATAGCCAGAGTAACTTTATTGCATTTTTATTTACTTGACTTATTTCTATTTTTATAGTCTAAAAATGTTAACCTACAAGAGCACAGTGATCGAAAATTGCTAATAATTTTTAATTGTTCATTGTGCATTATTTTTTCTCCCCATTTATTTTCTTAGATAGTGATAAAATTGACAATTACTTTGAATAAAATGGTTATTGGCTAAAACTTGAGGACAATAAATTTAAGAAATTTTGATGTTTTGTTTTTACGCAGATCTGGTTTTGCTACTTAAACGAGAGCACAATTCTCAAATCATCAATCACAAAAAAATAGGTAACATACTAATAAAACCTGCGATATTTAAAAATATGAAATAATCTTGATGATACAAATTACAAACCTTTAAAAATTGAACGTGTTCCTCTTACTAAATATCACAATAAACTGTCTCCTTTCATCGCTGTACGCTATATATACACATGCTATAGTTTATCAAAACAATGGTCACAATTATTTTGTTTACGATACGGAAATATGTGATAAACATTTAATAAGAAAGTTGATTCACGTATGGGCTGGGGTTTTGTGTTTATTCTTGTTAGTATCATAGAAATATATTAATTCTTGTATCGATTAGTTATTCAGAAAATATAAAAAAGACACGCGTAATATAGAAATACGTATAAGTTGCTTTAACTTTTATAGAGCCTATGTAAGCGATTTGTCTAATCAATTTATAATCTTTCTGAAACATTTTGGACTTCAATTGAATATTAAATGGATGGTATGAATACTGAAATTCCGTACGAGTCAAGGGCCGTCCACACATCGCAAATAACTAAAGCCAAAAAGGTCTACAGCGCATCTTGCTTAGTTGTTATGTTGCTGGGTTATTTCACCTATCATCACGTGAATATCATGCTTGTCTGTCAACCTTGAAAAATCTATTTAACGTTCAAATTATACAATAAAATAAACAAGAGTAAATGCATCAACTACTCCAATAACTTTTTATTTAACGTGTAACTGACCCTATGGGAACTATCTACTAAATGGGCAAACCATTTCCAATTTAATCACCACGAAATATATTTAAATGTCCATCAATTTCAGCACTTCACTCTGCACAATTCAATTTTAATAAATTAATGGAATTAATTAAGGGAATGCGATGGACGCACTGAAGAGCTTATTAACTCATATCAAAATTGTTTGAATTAAAGCGAACGCGTGTTAAAGTAAACCATTAATTTAATGTGGGTATTCAGGCCCTTCTAGGCGTTATATAAAAGCCCTAATACTGTGACGTCATGGGGCATTGTCAGATTTTCTATACCTGTTTTACTAAGCTAGGGTTTATGATTAGTTTAACAGTTAGAACTGCAATATATATCAGTTAAACTTTTTTCAAAATTATCTTATCTTAGTCTCCTCATGGCCACGGCTGTAAGGCATCCGAAACGTCGGGCCGTAGGTAAAATAATTTTCAAATAAGTTTAACTAATATATATCGCGTTTTAAACAGTTTAGTGTATTTATTTAAACACATCAAATAATAAGAGAACATAATCGTGAATATTTAATAAGATGCATGCACTGTATCCATGATCTAAATGGGGGGGGGGGGGGGGGGGGGGGGGGGGCGGGGGGGGGGGGGGGGGGAAAAAAAAAAAAAAAAAAAAAAAAAAAAAAAAAAAAAAAAAAAAAAAAAAAAAAAAAAAAAAAAAAAAAAAAAAAAAAAAAAAAAAAAAAAAAAAAAAAAAAAAAAAAAAAAAAAAACAAAAAAAAAAAAAAAAAAAAAAAAAAGGGGGGGGGGGGGGAAAAAAAAGGGGGGGGGGGGGGGTCCCCCCCCCCCCCAACAAAAAAAAAAAAAAAATTGAGGGGGGCCCGCGGAAAAAAAAACAACAGGGGGGGCGCCCCAGAAAAAAAAAGTTTGCGAGACACTGACTAAAGATTATTTTACTTAACTTAGATCGGTATGCAAAACAACTTTCGTTAAACTACTTTAATATAGCATCCTATTTTATTCAGACATTATTAAGATGAAATATACCGTCGCTATGATTTATACATTTTCAACTATTACTGTTAAGGTGTCTGTCGACTTCACTAAATTGGTTTCATTTCAGTTGGACTCGGTAGCCCAATTGGTTAGAGCAACAAACAGCACGGAACGCTGACGATGCCGGTTCAAGTTTCGCTCGAGTCATAATATTTTTATTTAATTTCAGTGTCTTATATGTAAGCTTAAATATTGATGTTACAGCAGCATCAGAAATTAGAGCTATAATGGTTCTTGAAATACAACCTTGTAACAGACATCTTAATAAAAATATAATCTACGGGTACGTATTTTTTTTGGGTCTTGTACCCATAGAGGAAATGGGAAATTCTAATATAGCGGAGGACCGACAAGCATGGCGTTCATATGATGGGGGATGGAATACCCCAGCCGTATAACAACTTCACAAGAATCTCTATCGACCTATTTCGGCTTTGACTATTTGGGAATCTACAGACTGAAAACGAAACGCGCTCATACTTCACGGGCCACGGCTTTTCATCTGTGGTGGTTCTTGAAATTGAAAAATTAGAAATATGCTTGACGCGGTGGGGATCAAGCCCACCCGTTCATTATTAGCCAAACATCGCTACCGCTAGACTAACGAGCGATTTGTCTAGGTAAAACATAACACTTTTAAAACTCTACTACACCTTTTTATAGCGTACACAGACCACTCCAATCAGTCAACACCCTTACCCAAATTCTCAATACAGTATAATTCGTAAATAACAACCGGACACGGCTTCCACGGAACCTCTAATTTCGGTCTTTTTTGCACCTCTACTGTTTTCGAACCGACTTCATAATAACGGAGAGATATATAAGGCTCTACACTGTGGGAATGGCTCTGTATAATACAATAGGCATACGCCTATACGTACTACATAAATTATAAATAGAGTTTTTTTTTTCATTGGCTATGGTAGTACTAATAACGCATATCTATACTAATATTATAAAGAGGAGAGATTTGTATGTAACGGATAAACTCAAAAAGTACTGGACCGATTGTAATAATTCTTTTTTCATTAGAAAGTTACATTATCACCGAGTAACATAGGCTATATTTAGTACTCGATTACTATAGGCATCTATAGAAATTCTTAATTAAACCAACGGAGGGCGTAAAAATAAGCCGTAAAATGTCTTTCTTCGCATACGCTGCGAAAAGTATTAATGCTAGGACAAAAAAATGTTCAACCATATTATAGAATATATCAATATCTACAAAAAACATCGCGAGAGCATTTGTCTAATGTAGTGTGTGTTAGAGTGTACGCGTCCCAATCGCGAGCCGAGAGCGAGAATCTATCGTCGAATGTTCAGGTTCGTCTTGCAGAACAAAATGCAAAATCGTCGCAGCGACTTAAAGGAAATAGAGCTAGGAATTCGCGAACGCGTGCACGGAACACTAACACAGAACGCTCGCAGCGGCTCCTGAACCAGCGAGATAAACCACGGTCGTTAACAGAGAGGACGCGCGATAGATTTTTTTCTAATTTAGTGATTGAGGGTCGTTTTAATTAGCATGCTTATAATTTAAATATTTGTAGCCGGGACAGGGCCGCTAGTAAAGATATAAAGAAGTTTAAGATAAACAAAACACTCGCAAAGTATGCGAAACGTCGGGCCGTAGTTAAAATAGGTAAAAAATAAGTTAAGTTGAATATTTCTCGTTTTAAATCGTTTTTTTTTATTTACTACTCGCGTTAACTACAGATAATATTGATATTATACATAATGATTAATAAGTAAAATCCCGTGACATGTCATAGTGCAGACCATTTAAATTAATTTCTGATATTCAACAAGTAGTTGATCAAATATTAGTGCCTTGGCCGACCGAAAATATAGGGTTTCCCCGGGAATGAACCTCGGGGCTATTTCAACCACTGTCTCATGGAGCAATTCTTAAGATTTACTATAACCAAAGTCTTTATTATAAATTTTATAAAGTCTGCTTCCATACATCTAAGCACACTGCCCAAACGAAAATAAGATCAGTGCGGCATCCGGCAATTACATATATGCGTGCGTGGAGCTAGGATGGTCCAGATTTGTGGATCCACAATTTTAGACATGTATTGTCTTCAAAAGTGCGTATCTCAGTTCTTAAAGTCGTAATTAAAGACTTATTGTGCTTTACACAAAACGTCAAAACCTTAAACAAACAGTCGGGTAGTCCTTCAAAATCCAATGATTTGTTTTGAGACAGTTACAGACATAATTCCAAAAGCAAAGTTAATCAAACGCAAATCATTAATTGCTTAAGTGAAGGTGGCCTAAAAGATAACAGAAACGGTGTTTTACTAATTAAATAAATCACTTTTAACGGTCCAAAACGCGGCATTCAAATAATATTTTTCGCGATTTAATCAGTTAAAAGTTTTTGACCTAATTGTGTACTAATTGCATAAACCACAGAAAACTTTTTGAATTTAATTACCTTAGAGAGACATTAAAAATAATTACATAGATTGGTATAAGCCACCTTATCGTAGATTGTCCTTTTACAACAAACGTACCATCACATCCCAAAATCAATTAAATCCCACGATGTCTGGTTGGAGTGGAGTGTTTCAATTAATTACACCATCAATCTCGGTCAATCGAATGTACGCGTTACATTGAAAATAAAGCTTTAAAGTACAGCGCCACAATTGGTTTTAAAGGTAATAAAATCGATAAAGTGCGAATCGTATTCACTCAGAAAGGGTTCCGTAGCATTGACTAAGTAGAATGATAACAATGCATTGCTCGTAATTAACGGGATGTAAGTTCAATCCCCACCTGGTGCAATTGGGGGCTAGCGAAAACGGTCCACGTAGCCAATATATATTTATGAAAGAATGATTTTTTATCTTTGACGGTTTAAAACGCGACATATATTAGTTAAACT